TATCGCCTTTTTTTGTTTTGACAAGCAGAATCTTACATTTTGGTAAGGTTCCACTTGTCATTTTATAAATTTTCTGATTAATGTTCTTTAAATCTTGCCTAAGAAACTTTGCCTATCCAACTTCATGAAAATATTCTCTTATGTTTTCTTCTAAGAGCTTTGTAGTTTTAACTTTTGTGATTGAGTTTATAATCCACCTCAAATTAATTATCATGCATGGTGTGAGGCAGGAGTTGAAATTAATTTGTTTCATATAGTTACCTAATTGCTTCAGAGTTATTTGCTTAAAGGATTTCTTTCCTCACTGAATTCCTTATTACCTTTATAAACAATCAATTGATGATATATACATGGGTATTCGCTATTCTGTTGATTTGATATATTTGTCTATTCTTTTCCTTGTTGGCTAGATTACAGTGGCTTTGTTGTGTCTTCAAATCAGGTAATGCAAATCTTCTATATTGTTTTTCAAGATTTTTTTTTACATGAACGACTTATTTCTTATCTTTCTATGTATATTTTAGAACCAGTTTATCAATATTTACAAAAATGCATGTTTGAATTTTGACTATAATAACATTGCATTGATAGATCAACTTGGGGAGACTAAAATCTGTATTAGTCTGCTAGGGCTATCATGACAAAAATACAAGACTGGGTGGCAAAAACAACAGAAATTTATTTTTTCACAATTCTGGAGGCTAGAATTCCAAGATCAAGATGTCAACAGGTTTGGTGTCATCTGAGGCATCTCTCCTCAGTTTGTAGATGGCCACATTTTCAATGTGTTCTCACAAGGTCACTCTGAGTCTGTGTGTTGTCTGTGTACTCATTTTCTCCCCTTGTAAGGACATGAGTGATATTAGATTATGGTCCTCCATATGACCTCATTTTACCTCTCTAAAGGCCCCATTTCCAAATATAGTCACATTCTGAGGTACTGATGATTAGGACCTCAACATGAATTCTGTGGGACAAAATTTAGCCTATAACAGCATCTGAACAATATTAAAACTTTTGATCTCTGAATATGGTATATCTTTCCATTTATTTCAGTTACCTTCACTTTCTCTCAGTTCTTTGTAGTTTCAGTATGCAGATCTTGCACATATTTCAGTAATTTATAGCTAAATATTTATATTTAAGGTTTTGGGTCCTACTATTAATAGCATTTTTCCCTGAAATTCAATTCTCAGTTGCTGTTATAAAGAAATTTAATAAATTTTAAAATGTGGACCTTGTAAAGGTTGCTAAACTCATTTATAATTGTAGGGTTTTTTTTGCTTCTTTAATATTTTCTACATACATAATCATATTGTCTTTGAATAAATATTGTTGCATCTTTGTTCACAATCTATTATTTTGCTTTCTTTCTCCTTGACTTTCTGCAATTGCTAGGGCATTTGTACAAAGTGAAATAGTTTTGATGAGAACAGACATTCTTGCTTTTTTTGTTGATCTTAAAGAAAATATTCAAATTTTAATCAATAAATAGCTGTATTTTTTCATAGATATTCTCATAAGGCTGAGGAAATGCCTTTCTATTACTACTTTGCTGAGTTTTTATAAGTGATGTTGAATTATGTCATTATTATTTGTATCTATTGAGATGATCACTTGGTTTTTCTTTATTTTCTTAATGTGTTTAATTAAATTGATCGTGTTTTGAATATTAAGCAACTTTACATTCCTGGGACAAGCCCCACTTGATTATGTGGTGTTATTCTTTTCAAACATTACTTGATTATATTTACTAATTTTGTTAGAATTTGGACTATAATTTTCCTTTCTTGTAAAATTTTTTTGTCAGTTTATAAGGATTACAGTGTACTTACAGAGCAAACTAAGAAGTATTTTTTCATTCTTTGTTTTCTGAAAGATTTTGTATAAGATTTGTAGTTATGTGCAAATATTAAGAATACTTTGTAGGAATCACAAGTAAAGCCATGTTTTGAATTATGACGCTAATCTCTTTAACCGATATGTCTATTTGTATTTTCTATTTTTTCTTATTTCTGCTCTAGTAAGTTATCTTTTTCAAGGAATTTGTCCATTTTGTGTATGCCATCAAATTTAGTGACCTGAAGTTTTAATAATATTTCTTTATTATCTTTTAAATATCTGAAAGACTTATCATGATGTCCCTTCTGGGTTTTTTTTCCCCTGATGTTATGTTTTATCTTTCCTTTAAAAAAAATAGACTAATTTTTGAGAAGTTTCAATTTACAAAAAAAATTGAGAAGAAAGTACAGAGTTCTCCCATGACCCCCTTTACCTCTTCCTTCAGAATTTCCCCTAATATCAGTAACTTGCATTACTGTCAATCATTTTTTACAATGATGAGTCAATATTGATACATTCTTACTGGCTAAAGTTCATAGTTTGCATTAAAATTCACTCTGGATTGTATGGGTTTTGACAAATATATAATCATATGTACCTGCCATTACAGTGTCATACAGAATAGTTTTACTGTCCTAAAAATCCCCTGCGCTCCAATAATCTATCCCTGCTGTGCTCCTCCCAAACCCTTGGCAACCACAAATCTTTCTACTGTCTTTACAGCTTTGTCTTTTCCAGAATGTCATACAGCTGAAATCATACAGTGTGTAGCCTTTTTTTTTCAAAATGGCTTCTTTCACTTAGCAATATGCACTTAAGATTCCTTTATGTCTTTTTCTAGCTCGATAACTCATTTTCTTCCTTAAACTTTTTTCCTTTCTAAAGGCTTATCAACTTTATTCATCTTTTCAAAGGAAAAAGTTTTGGTGTTATTTCTCTGCTTTAAATTTTACTGTATTCAAAGAGCATGGTACATATATATATATTTTTTTCTTTGATGCTTAAAGAGATTTGATTTTATGGCACATAATTATTTTTCTTTTTTTTTTTCTGGTGGATGCTCTAGGTGTATTTGAAAAGAATGTGTATTCTGCTCTGGTTGGGTAATACATTCTATTAATGTCACATAGGACAAGCTTATTGATAGGGTTGTTTGAGTTTTCCATGTAAATGTATTTTTTTCTGCCTACTTGTACTATCAGCTACTGAGAGAGGAGAGCTAAACTCTCCAACTATATTTGTGTGTTTATCAATTTCTCCTTTTAGTAGTCAAGTTTTGCTCCATTTTAAAGCTTTGTTGTTAGATACATACACACTGAATATTGTTATGTCTTTTTAATGAATTGGCAGTGATCACTATCAAGGATCTTCTTCTATTTCCAGTAATATCTCTTGTTTTGAATTTCATTTTCTTGTTATTAATATAGTCACACCAAATTTTGTTATTAATATAGCCACACCAAATTTTACATTTACTTAGTATATCTTCTTCCATCCTTTTACCATCGGCTATCTGCAGTTTTATATTTCAACCGTATCACTTGCACTTGTATCTTTCTCACCCTGTTATCCAGTTTGATACTCTATGACTTTAAAGGAGTTTATTTAAACCTGTCTATGCCTGGGTTTAAATCTATCCTTTTGCTATTTGTTTCCTACTTGTCCCCCATCCCCCTGTTCTTTTCTCTTGCTCTTCTAGTTTCTTTTGGAGTGCTCAAGTATTTTTATTATTCCATTCTGTCTCCTCTATCAACTTTTAGCTCTACTACTTTGCTTTATTCATTTACTTTTAAGTATTGCTCTAGGCTCTACAATGTGTCCTTAATTTATTTTCATCTCTCTTCAATTAATATTATGGTTGGTATAAGAACCTTATAACATCATATGTCCATTTACCTTTCTCTCTTCCTTCTTGCAGCTGTTGTTAAAGATGACATATATTATTAATATGTTACTAACTTCATAATATCCTGTTATTATTTTTGTCTTTTAAATAAATTAAAGAAGATCATCTATTAGATTTTTCCACAATTTAACCTTTTTCCATATTCTTCATTTCTTCCTGTAGCTTTGTTCTCTTCAGCCTGAATAACTTTTAAAAAAATGTATTTATTATCGTTTAGATCTGCTGACTATATATTCCCTCCACTTTTATTTATCTGAAAGTATATTTCATCCTTAGTTTTGATATACATATTTCCACTGAATGTACAATTCTAAACGGACAGTTTTTCAAATTTTCTTTCAGCAATTTAATTATGTTATTCATTATCTTCTGGCTTGAATGATTTCCAATCAGAAGTCAGAAATTATTCTTATTATTGTTCTTCTATAATGTATCTTTTTTCCTCTGGGCAATTTTCAAATTTTTTTTTTTACCTTTGTTTTTTTCCTACAATGTGACTATAATGTGTCTGGGTATAGTTTTCTTGGTAGTTTCCTTCTTTGGATTGGTTGATGTTCTCTTTGCTTTTGTGTGGTTATGTTTTTCATCAAATAGTCAAATAATCAGCCATCATTTAAAAAAATACTTTCTGCTGCTTCTCTCTCCCTAATTATGCAAATACCTTTCCTGACACATTTAATTATGTGTTGTGGAGAGTAATTACTTATCTACATATTTGGTTTTTCAGCTAGAATAGGAGCTTTTTGAGAGGTCAAGTTCTTGTCTTCTTTTCCTTTTTTTTTTTTTTTAGGTAACTAATTTGAATTTATTACCATGTCTTAATTTTTCCATGTGCATTGTAAAGATTAAGTAAATGCAATGCATGTTTACTAAAGGTATTCCCTTCTTTATTTTTTATTTTCATTTTATTTTTAGAGAGAGGGTCTCATTCTGCTGCCCATGCTACAGCACAGTGGCTCAGTCATTGCTCACTTGCAGCCTCAACCTCGAGGGCTCAAGAAATCCTCCCACCTCAGCCTCCCAAATAGCAGGGACTACAGGTACATGCCACCACACCTGGCTAAGTTTATTTATTATTATTTTTTGTAGAGACAGGCTCTTGCTTTGTTGTCCTAGCTGATCTTCAACACCTGGCCTCTCAAGCAATCCTCCAGCTTGGCTGCCCAAAGTGCTGGAATTACAGGTTTGAACCATGACAGGACCCCTTACATGTATTTTTAATGTTAAAAATATTTAGTTATGGAACGTGAGTTCTACCGTCTGGCTCTCCTCCGCTGCCACCATGAGCTTCACCACTCGCTCCACCACCTACTCCTCCAACTACCGGTCCCTGGGCTCCATCCCGCCACCCAGCCTGCGGTCCACCAGCAGCGCGGCCAGCATCTATGCAGGCGCCGGCGGCTCGGGCTCCCGGATCTCTGTGTCCCGCTCCACCAGTTTCCGGGGCGGCTGGGGGTCCGGGGGCTTGGCCACGGGGATGGCCGGGAGTCTGGGGGGCATCCAGAGCGAGAAGGAGACCATGCAAGAGCTGAACGACCGCCTGGCCTCTTACCTGGACAGGGTGAGGAGCCTGGAGACCGAGAACCGGAGGCTGGAGAGCAAAATCCGGGAACACCTGGAGAAGAAGGGACCCCAGGTCAGAGACTGGGGACATTACTTCAAGACCATCGAGGACCTGAGGGCTCAGATCTTTGCAACTTCTGTGGACAATGCCCGTATCGTTCTGCAGACTGACAATGCCCATCTTGCTGCTGATGACCTTAGAGTCAAGTTTGAGACAGAGCTGGCCATGCGCCAGTCCGTGGAGAGCGACATCCATGGGCTCCGCAAGGTCATCGATAACACCACTGTCACCCAGCTGCAGCTGGAGACAGAGATCGAGGCCCTCAAGGAAGAGCTGCTCTTCATGAAGAAGAACCATGAGGAGGAAGTAAAAGGCCTACAGGCCCAGATTGCCAGCTCTGGGTTGACCGTGGAGGTAGATGTCCCCAAATCTCAGGACCTCAGCAAGATCATGGCGGGCATCCGGGTCCAGTATGATGAACTGGCTCAGAAGAACCGAGAGGAGCTGGACAAGTACTGGTCCCAGCAGACTGAGGAGAGCACCACAGTGGTCACCACGCAGTCCGCTGAGATTGGAGCTGCCGAGATGACGCTCACAGAGCTGAAACGTACAGCGCAGTCCTTGGAGATTGACCTGGACTCCATGAGAAACCTGAAGGCCAGCTTGGAGAACAGCCTGAGAGAAGTGGAGACCCGCTACGCCATGCAGATGGAGCAGCTCAATGGCACCCTGCTGCACCTGGAGTCTGAGCTGGCACAGACCCGAACAGAGGGCCGGCGCCAGACCCAGGAGTACGAGTCCCTACTGAACATCAAGGTCAAGCGGGAGGCTGAGATAGCCACCTACCGCCGCCTATTAGAAGACGGAGAGGACTTCAGTGTCAGTGATGGCCTGGACAGCAGCAGCTACATCCAGACCACCCAAAAGACCACCCACAAGATAGTGGACGGCAAATTGGTGTCTGAGACCAATGACACCAAAATTCTGAGGCGTTGAGGCGGCAGGAACAGGGCGTCCTTCGGGGAAGCAGGAAGTCAAGAAAAAGTTCAGAGGTCATTGGAAAAAAAAATATATATATTTAGTTATTAACTATAGCAGAATTTCAACTCAATGACCTTCAGAGAACAAAAGTTCTTTCTAAACAATAGCAGCACAACCCCTTTTGTCTTAGTTTTCTGCATCCTCATAACTTCACATAACATATAACTAGGAAAAGCTCAAAATATGATTGTGAAATTAATGAATACATAAATGGTGTAATGATCATTTATCGACTGCTTACCATGTGCCACCTACTGTTTTAGTGACTCTCACATAAAATAACCATCCCTAGCTCACAGCATTTTGATAAATAAATTACATACACTTTGGTTTCATAGAGGATTAAATGAAGTCTCAGAGTTCACCAAACTTGATCAAGGCTACACAGTTCACAAATGGAGAGTCACAAATGGACTGAATCTAGAATATCTCTTTGTGATTAATGGGGAACGAGAATGTGTGCAGCCTCGTCCTATGCTCCTAGGCTGGATTCTGCCTCTCATTTTGTATCATAATTCATTAATGAGAGCAAAATAAATTGTGGGCAACACCAGGAGTTGAGAAAGCAGATGGCAAGATGGCCTTGGGCTGAAGGGGATAAGGCAAGCCCCGCAGGGGTGTGTTCCAACTGAGATGGGCAGAGAGAGGGCAGGTGCCCCATTTGCACCTACTCATGCAGTTTAAGAAGATGGTAACAAACAGCCTTCCCAGTGACACTAGGAAGCTTGTTAGCTGCTGTTTCTTACCTATTTTGGTCTCTGCAAAATTGATCAATTTTGGCCTCCACTGGGATCAACTTGTAAAGGCTTAGTAAGAAAGAACCTTGCATATGAATTCTCACAGAAAACACTTCCAGGCACACCATCAAGGTAAACACAGGAGAAGTATTTTGAGTTTATTTTCCATTCTGTGCTTCTTGTGGTCCTGTTGATTTCTAGTGAGGAAAGGAGTTATCGCTTGAGAAAATGATTAGTTAATTATTTGTATTATGTTTATTTTATGCTATTATTGATGTCTAAAATTTATCTCTCCATATCTTCTATTTATTCATTGATCTATTTATCTATCTAGCATCTGTTTCTCTTTGAAGCTTTTAACATTTTTTCTGCTCTGCAGAAATCTTCAGTATTCCTATTCCAATTTATGGCATTTTTAATGTAGCTTGTTAGTGTACAGTTTGGACAATGTTAACATAATTTCAGGTATTGAGGACAAGTGAGGAATCTGCTTAAGTCCTTAGGAGAAGCTAAAAAGACTATTAACAACCCTAGTCCATAAAAAACATCTGTTTCAGTCATGCTGGTGATTTTTTATTAGTCCTTCAAATCCATAACAAAGATCTCTAGAGCAAGACAAATGTTCTAGTGGAGTGCAATTTCCAATTTCTTAGCTAACCTGATTTTGTTGATTCATACATATGCATGATTCAGTACTGTTCCTGAATACAAAAAAAAAAAAGGAAGAAGAGAAAAGAAAAATTCTTTAGGGCTCCACTTCCTTTTTATATTGTTTATATTTCTTGAAATGCCCTTGAAATTTCATTTGCTAAGGGAAGCTAAACAAATAATTGTATACTAAAAAGGAAATGAGTCTGGCAAGCTAGATAATTTGTAACATCAAATATTCTTTTTCCATAGTTAATATTTTGTCTGTGAGGAAGCATGAGGAGTAAACAGACCAATGTATCTTATATGCAATATCTAATCACAATGCCAAATGCATGAAGTGAAAATACCTCAGGATACACTTTGCCAGTTCTGCTCCAACATAGCTGAATGCAATATACTATAACAATAATAGGAGTCACACTTGCCCTATTTCCTCTGATCTCTAAAGAAGAATGCCAATGCAGTAGTAATGCACCTTGCTTCTCTTTCTGGCGATCAACATTTTTTGTTTGTTTGTTATTGGGACCTATCACATACTCTGAAAAGTTTCCTCTGAAAACAAACTTGACAGTACTCTGAGGCCAATGTAATGAGACAGACATCAGGACTTCATTTGAAATTGATCATGACCATGAACAGAAGGAGTGGGTAAACATATCAGGCGTTATTTGGGTTTCCTAGCGTTGTTCTCTGTGGGAAGTCAGAAAGTCAGTGTGGAGGGGGCGGGAGTGAAACTTAATCTCTCTGGCGTGACATTCACTGTTTTCAACTCCACCACCAGTAGAGTATGCGTGGTCAGCATACTTCTCATTGACTATAAACCGAGAGGTGACTTGAAAATAAGGTTGTGTTAATTTAAATAAATAGGTTTGAATTAGAAAATAACTTGAGGTCCAATTTCAGCTTAATGGACTATCTATATTTCTGTTTCCAATTGGATTTTTTCCCTTAAGAAGTTACTATATTTTAGCAATCAAACTTCATGGTAGAATTGGAGTTCTGAGTACTAAAAGATTATTGTGGAAGGGATCAATCTACTCAATACTTCTATTGAGTATCTGGTCCTAAATTCCTACTTTGATCACAAAATAGAAGAGCTTTAGAGGTGGAAGACGTGGAAGAAAAACCGGGACAGAGAAAGGAGTAGTAGGAGAGCAATGAGGTTGACGAGATTGTCCAGCTGTTGGGTCTCCAAGCCCCACCCTTCCTAGACCTAAATCATTTTTCCATTAGGGTCTTGGGACTCAGTTGTTTCATTCTCCTTACTTATTTCTATCACTCACTGTGTATACAGATTGTACACTTTCTTCCCAAAATGCACACCTGTGGTTGATTATTTTCACACTCGTCTCCTCATACCCATTGGCCAATTCTTCCCTGCTGTCCCTTTTTTGTGTGTCGTCAGAGACAAGTCCAAGCATTCTTCACATTTTACAGTCTCTACTTCTACTCCTTGCTGGAAATCATGGGCATGACATGACTATAATAGAGGAGTGAACCTTAGGAAGATTTATAGGACTGTCAACCTAAAATAACAACAGAGAGAGTAGCTCTCAGAATAAATGAGTTTATTTAGGAATGAATGACAAGGGATTATAATTCAGGATATGCAGGCTATGATGAATTGTAAGCACATCTGGAGAGGCTGGAGTAAAGGAAAACTTTTAAAGGCAAACTGAGGAAGGTTATATGAGTTATTTTGAGACAATTATCTTGGCCACAAGAATCAATATCAAGGATAGCATCAGTCCAAGGTTGAATAGGCAATTACTGGATGGAAGTCCTCACAGAAGTATTATTTGTGGAAGGATGCAGTGGTCTTTGGGCAAGGTTGTGGTTTTCAGAGTTCCTGTAAGAGTTTTTAGCACAGACATGTATGTGACAGAGCCTCTTATTGATGACCTACCAACTCCATTGTGTTAGAGTTTGGCATAAGGGATTCCATTTTGATTCTAATATCCACAGGACCAAAGAGCAAGGGGAATAGAGTAAAAGAATTTTATAGAAAAGAGAGAGGCAGAACTCTAGAGAAATGAAGTTAATTGTTTTCCACCCCTCCTGTAGAATGGGAAAGAATCCCTTATTGTGGAATCCAGTTAAAGATAGCAACTTTGGATGTTTGCTCTGAGGTTCAAGGAAAGGCAACACAGGTACAGACCGCAGTGTGATCACCAGGCAGTGGTTTGCATAGTAGCATTGACTATTTTTTGAAGAAATGTGAAACGAATGTGTGCAAGGTTGATCTAGCATGTGTAGAAACTGAGCTATAACCACTTAGAGGCACACTTTTCCAAGTTTTTCATGCAAGTGGGACAAAAAGTTTTACAGACTGAAGCCTCTTAGGAATTCTTACTTTCTGCAAGCATTCTATATAACTAATGTGAAATATCTGTGTTGCATATCATGTTTTAGACATCAAAGTCCTTTGTATATTCCTCTGATCAGTATACAAGAGGTTACAGAGATAATGGTTAAGAGCTTGAACTCTGGAGCCAAACTGCCTATGTTTGAACTCTGGCTCTGCCACATAGTAATGTGATCTTAGTGGATGTCTCCTCAACCAAAGATATGGGGCTAACAATACAACTGAAAGGATCAAATGAATATCTATCTATCTATCTATCTATCTATCTATCTATCTATCTATCCATCCATCCATCCATCTATCTATCATATCTAATGTATCTATCTAATCTTAACTTAGAATAATGCCTGGCATGAAGTAAGCATCATGTAGGTATTTGCTGCTATTATCACTCTTTTAAAAGATGTTACCTGAACTGATTTCTGAGGAAGGACGTTTGTCATTTGTCTCTTCTTGGATTTTGTTGTTCAGTCCTTATATAACCTATGTCAGGCCAGTTTCAGTGACTGGATTCTTGCCATGATCTTGACTTGAGTCTCAAGATGTTCTTGGCCACTCCAATCCATGTTAGGTTTCATTTTCTTGAGTAACTTATTTGGATCTTTCAGCAGGTCCTGGTAGTGTGAGATAATTTGCACAAATGAGGCAAAAAAAAAAAAAAAAAAGGTGAGCAGATCCATTACAGGCTCTCATAATAGTGTACCCTGGTCTGCAGTTCCTGCCTCCTTTCTAAGAGACTGACTGGAAGCCTCCACTGAACTGCTGCTTTTCACTTTTATTTTTTGGGTGAGTGTGCATCAGCCCCCAATCTCACCTAATGCAGGCTGTGGGGAAGACCAGTTGGACTTCATTATGGCCCCTCTTCCCACCATGGGTCTTGGAGAAGCCATTGAAGTAGAGAAATCTTGCAGGAAAATATACTACATAAATGTGTGGGCAATTGGTTAACTTTTTGAGGGGAAAAATACATACTAAGTACAGTGTCTGTACAAAATACAGTATCTAAAAAGATAATTTACCTATTATCTTACACACACACACACACAAAAGATCACTTTGGGGCATTTTCTCAAAGAACTAATGAGATTATAACATGAAAATTACCAATGTCTGGGACTTGGTAGACAATCGGTATTTACCAAATTCAACTATACCTTAACTTTGCTCCAAATCAAATGACTATGTCAGGGCAGATCTGAGGCACCCAATCAAATGGTCTTTATGCATATTGTCTCCTTTCTAGAAACTTCCTTTTTAGGATTTCAAAAT